AGGAATCCTGCCGGATGTCCCTCGCTCTCACATTCTGGCTGCTGTCACACATACCAGGCGGCCTGTTCTTGAGGTTCCAACACCTCTGCACCCTAAATGCAGAGCATGAAGTCCTCTGAAGGCCTTTTGGGTTGCTTTCACTGAGCTGCAGTTCTGATTCGGGGAAAGGTGGGGCCCTCCTAGGGCATCTTACCACCACAATGTTCACATGTCCCTGTCCAGAAAAGGGCCCCCTTATTCCTATTTGTTATTTCCTCTTTCCCAGACGCTTTCACGTCCATCAAGTGCTCTAAATCCCCTACTGACTGGTTTTATGTGGATCTAAGTCCGGTTACCTTAAGCTCCTGGGCATACATTCTGCACCCTATTTTCCATGATGGGCCCACCAAAATGTAGTTCTACTTGGTTTTACGGAGACACTAGTGAAGACAGCTGAGTTTTTGGTCTCTTCTCTGTCACCTCCTGAACCAGGAGGTGTAGAAAGGATGCATACTCCAACTTTCAGGGCACCCCACGCTTGTCACCACCTCCACCACCAACTGCACCCCTGAGGAGAACCTCTACTTAAAAGTCAGCCTGTCCAGCCCTCACACCTGTGTTCTGGATGCTGCCTAAGCACTTTTCTGGCCAGGATATCCTAGGCATCAGTAAAGATGCTGCTGCAGAGAGAGCAAAACCTCAGCCACGAGCACTTTCTGCTAGGATTTCTGAAGAAATGCTTAGGCTTTTACAATTTTAGGTTCAGTGACTAAGAGGGAAACCCCCACAGCACACCCTACCACTGGAATTTTCCCGACTTTTCCATACATGTCTATCTCCTCCCCCCCAAAAAAAAATTCTCCAAAGCCTTCAGGAATCGAATGGTTTATTAAAACTGAACAGGTGCAACAAGAATGGTAAATTGATGATAATATTGACATTGACATGAGGATTCATTATGCTTTGCACTTTACTTTTGAGTATGCTTGAAAATTTTAACAATAGAAATTTTAAAATAAGGCAGGGTAGGCCAGCCCCATAGGCTAGTGGTTAAGGGAGCTGGATCCCACGTGGCTGAACACTGTTCCAATCCTGGAGAACTTAAAAACAGGTCAGGTTCCTGTGTGCATGTGCCCCCAGTCCCAACAGGATGAAGAAATGGAGGAAAGAGATTGCACTGTGACCAAGCACCATCGGGGGCACGTATTCCCCACCTCTCTCTATCTCCTTTCTCCTCTCTCTCTCTCTCTCTCTCCCCTTCTTTCTGGTGAGCACAGGCATCTTCTGGCAATTACAAAAATAAAAAGGCAGATTAGATTGTGCTTTGCCTATGCTCAGAATTTTCGGTTGCCGTCCCACCGCAGAGGAAGATCCAAAGGGCCTCATGTAATCAATTTAGTGACATACAACAAGTTTGTTTGGTTTTTTTTTAATGAAATAAAAGGATGAAATAGAACACAACAAAAACAAAATATTAGAGTGCATAGTAAGAATATTGCAGGGGAGGGATTTTTTTTTTTTCAATTTTGCCACAGGGCAAGTGTGCTCACCACAGAGAGACAAAGAAGGACTCACACAGGGAAAGTGAGAAGGCATCCCCCATGGGGAATGGTCACACCACAATCCCTTCTCCTCCACTTCTCCCACTTTTCAGGATTTTAGGTGGGCACACACAACACACACACACACACACACACACACACACACACCCCTCGCATTTTTTTTCAAGTCACTGGATCCGGGACTTGAACCACCAAGTTGGTCATGTGGGTTCCAACTCATGTAACCACCAGGCTGCAGGCAAGAGTATTGTTTCAATAAACTTTTGTTTCTACGTGTATACTGAGTTGTAATGCAAAGTGTGTGTATGAGTGTGTGCACACACACATGTGCACATTTTCTGCAGGTCATGGTCAAAGGGGTTTAAAAATCACCGCTCTACCTATCCAATCACCAGTCTTGTAACTCTCTCCCTTATGACCTACCACTTACCTTCCCCTACCCCGACACCACAACCCACTCCAGCCTGTTTGTCACCCATTGTTCCAAGTTCTACCCTGATATCTGGATAGCTTATCCCCTCACCTACCAGAGAGCACATACACTCCCTGGAGAGTCAAAGACAGGAAAAGTGAGAAAGCATCCCTCATAGGGGATGGCCACATCACAATCCCTCCTCCTCCATTTCTCCATTTGGGGGATATTTTTGGGCATACATATACATGTGCCTGGTGAGGTTTTAAGCTACCAGGTCTGTCCCGACCCAGGGGGACAGCCGAACGGGTTTCCTGAGTGAAGGAGTGAGAGCCGGGGCAAGCAGCGTAGTGTTACAACACGGAGACGACAGTGTCATCTGTTTATTGTGGGCAGCATGGTACAGCACAGAGATGACGCAGTGTCACAGCTCTTAAGGGTCGCGTCGTCTACTGTGAGCAGCACGGAGACGACGCGGTATCGCAGTTATTCAGGGGCGTCCGGAGACGATGTAGTGTTACAGCTCTTCAGGGTCTCCCAGTTCATCTGGAGACGATGCAGTGTCAGCTCTTCAGGATCTTCAGTTTCGTCTGGAGACTGCGCGGCGTTTCAGCTCTTCAGGCTCTTCAGTTGTCATCTTCCTGGTGGTCGTCGTCTGGCTACTGTGGGCCAGGCATCGTGGTTATATACACTCTGGTGGGTTGTAAACGGTGGGCCCTGATTGGTTGTTAACGGTGGGTTATGATTGGTTGCTTTTGGACCAATCATGAGGTGCCGGATATGCAAATTTGAGGGATTCTAGTGGCCAATCAGAGCAAGGTTTCGAAGGTCAGGTTTTTGGAAGGGAACCAATCATGGTAATTGTTTGCTCTCTGAGAAACCTCCTGCAGACTCGCTGGTGCGCAGCTTCCCACACAGGTCCAAGATTTAAAACAAGGAGTCACTATGTGGGATCCAGATAACTTAACCACCATGTCACACGCTGGCCCAAAATCAGCTTTTCAGTAGTTTCTCAATTCAACAGCCTCCCTTCTGGAGAATCTCCATGTTGGGTTTTGGCAAAGAAGATAGCTTTGTTAGAATGCTATATTATCTTTTTCTGTATAACATTACCACATGTTTAGTGGCTCAAAACGGCACACATTTATTATCTCACAGTTTTTGTAGTTGAAGGTTTGGGCAAGGCTTACCTGAGTTCTCTGCAGCCCACTATCAAGGTGTTAGGCAGATGGAATCCTCTTGAGAAGCCCCCTACAAGGAATGATCTATTTTCAGACATATTGGGCGAGTACAACAGTTCAAGTTTGTGCAGGCGGTAAGACTATTTAAGTCTTAATTTCTAGTTAGTTATTGGCTGGAGTCAATCATTAGTTCCTTGTCAAGTGTGCCTTCTCACAACATCACTACTGGCTTCATCAGAGCCAGCCAGGGAGGAGTCTCTTTGCAACACAAGCATTAGATTCTTGTCATCTTTGCTGTGTTCTACTTGTTGGAAATGAGTCATAGTCCCACCTACACTCAAGAAGAGGGGATTGTACAAGAATGTTACTATCAGGGGACCAGCAGTTAGCGTAATGGCTATGTCACTGGACTCCCACGTAGTCGACCACGGTTAGAGTCCCGGACAGGTGGCTTAAAACTCACACAGGGCGGGTGTGCTTGCATGCCCAAGATCCTGAGCGGAGAATGGAGGAGAAGGGATTGTGGCGTGGCCATCCCTGGGTGTGTGTGTGTGTGTGTGATTTTTCGCTTTCTGTCTCTCTGTCTGTCTCTCTCTCTGTCTCTGTCTGGCGAGCGCATGCGCCCTAGGGCAAAGACCCCTCCAAAAAAAAAAAAAAAAGTACAGTCGCCTTAACTTAAGTGTAAACTTGCATGCCACCTGCTGGTCTCCGTATTCACGCAGTGTGCTGTGGCATTTCAGGAGACAACGTGCGGAGATGAACACCGACCCGGTCCGTGTCTCCTGTGTTCCCGCCCCTCCTGGTCCTGGGAGCAGCCACAGAGATGGTACCAGATGCTCTCGCGAGAGTGGGAGAGCTCGCTGGTCTTCCGATTCTCCCAACCGCGCCACGCGTGTTCTCCTGCTGAGTAAGGGCGTTTAGCACCTCCCAGAGGCTTCTGGGAATCGTAGTTCCGGGCGGGACAAGGCCTGCGCCCGGCCCCGCTCCCTCTTACGCATGCGCAACTCCGAGCTGGCCCCAGAAGTTCGTAGCCTTTGTCAGGCCGGGGATGGGAGGTGAGCTGGTTGGGGTGCCGCCCCTCTCCGCTCGGCTTCTGTGGTGGCCCCCTGGGGTGGTCGTGTGGCAAGGCTGGGTCGCAGTGAGCGTATGTGGAAAGGGCCCGGAGAGCAGATCGCAAGCCGCACCTCCTCATGTTCTGGCCTGAACCCTCCCTGGGACACACGGATGCGAGCGCGGTGCGGGCGGGGGCGCGTCCAGCCGCGGTGACACGGGGGCGCGGAGCTGGTGGCGGGGCTGGGGCGAGTGCCCGGGCGCGGCCGGGGTTTGGTCC